GATTATTAGGGTCTTTTGCTGGTCTCCCACTTCCTATTTCTCCGAACCATCCTCCACTGACCTACCAAAAGGGCAGCTTTATCTGCATCGTTCCTCAGCTCAGTAACCTTCAATGGCTCCCTATTGCTGATTCTGCCACCAAGGTTCTCCACGATATGACCCTCAACTCCCTTTTCTATCATCTCTCCCCAGTACCCACATTCCCACTAGATTTAATCACTCCTTATTGAACTTACCCACCTTTTGCCATCTCCGTGCCTTTTTCATGTGATTCCTCTGCCTGGAATACTCATCCTTCTTCCCATTCACCCACACACTAAACTCAAATCCATCTATCAGAGACCATCTCAAGGGAGACCTCTTCCATAAAGACTTTCCCAGTCCTTCCAACTAGCAATACACCTAACTTCTAAATCCCACTGGACCTTGAATTTGCACTTACTTTCCTTCTGTCTCTTGTTTCCCTCTACCTTGCAGCATTAACTCCTAAGTGTCCATGCGGGCTTCTGAGCACGGTCTGGTTGGAAGGGAAGGTGGGGAGACAGGCCTTCAAAGCCACACTTGCAAAAGCACTGGTTTTACTAAAATGAGATGGGCAGGGAGATCAGATGGAGCTGCTCAGGCACAGACAACCCCCCACACACGCCACGCAGCCATGGAGACCTTCTTGCCCTTCTTTTCTTTCTCCCACTGGACTGCAAGTGTCTGAAGGGTAGAGGCTGTGTTCCTTATGTAAACTCCTGCCGCAGGGTCGAGCACAACACCAGCTGTGAAGAGCTTCTTGACACCAAGCGCACTGGATTTATAAGAGCAGACAGTGCCTCTGGGAGGCGTCCAGCCTGCACAGCTTCTTCCAGTCTGTGCAAAACAAACAAGTCTCCGGCACCCATTCCCTCCTGGCGTCTCACTGAGGCCAAGTGTGGGACAGTCAGTCCTTCCCCCTATGAGAGCTTCTGACCTGCTTCTCCTCTAAGCTGCCCTTTTACTTTTGAACCTGTGTTTACCCAGGAACCCATAACGGGGTGACCCCCCCCATTCAAAGGGACAGCCCCCAATGCCAGCCCTGAGTGAAGAGTCCTGTCAATTCGCTTCACGTTATTTTGCCAGCTGGGAAGACTTCCTCCATCAGTTTCATTGGGAATCCACCTTCTGAGGGTGCCCGCTCGGCCCACAGGCGCCACCCCTAATTTGAAGTAGCCAAGACAGCAAATTGCCCCACACCTTGGTCCCACCCGCTTTCCCTGCGCTGGGCACGGGGCCTTCTTCCACCCGGCTCGAGCCCAGCAGCCCCACTGACACTGTGCCCTTCTTGGCAGGCGAAAGTTCTCCCCATAAAGTCAGGGCTTCCAGAAGGGGCATGGAGGGGGATCCAGCCACTGCACATATCCCTGAGCCAAAAGAGAGAGAGAGAGAGAGAGAAGGAAACAGTGGCCAAGACAGGGTGGGAGCCCCAGCTCCCCCATTTTCCTATACAAATGCAAGGCCAGATTTTAACCTCTCCCTTGGCAACTCTGCACGTGAGACAAGAGAGAAACTAATACAGACATGACTCTTGCACTGCGTTAGACATTCACTTCCCCCACCCCTTGTTTCTTCATGGCCTTACTTTTTTTTTTTTTTAACACTTGAACCCAGGTTAGCCTATTTCCTGTTCCTATTTTTAAGGAATTCAGGGCCTCTGCAGTAAAGAAAGACAAGCATTCCCTGGAGCTATCTATTAGGAATGTTTTTAGATTGTTGGTTGAAAGCATGTACGTTTGTTAACTTGCACCCTAAACACACCCCACGGCTTCATTTAACTCTGAGCACTCATGTGTGTAATACAACTACCTATGCATGGTTCCAACTTAATCAAGTACTTAATGAGCAGCATCAATATTCGTTGTCTTCTCCATGGGAGCCTATGCTCATCAAGTAACTGTTGGCTGTCTCCACAGCCTGTGGTTGAGCTAAGAATTGTCTGTCCTTTCTCGAGACAGTGAGCTGTTAGTCCCCCAAGATGGGAAAACCCTGCTGGGTGCTTTCCAAAGGCTTCATTTTAAAACAAGATGTTTCCACTTAACAGATCTTTTGCCAACGCCAAGCGATTTGGAAGAGCAGTAAGAGATCCACCATCTGGGTGATAGTCATTCAGAGATCCTTGTAGCCTGCCTATTATGTGCCAGACACTGGGGATCCAATGAGGACCTGCCCTCATGGTGCTTATAGTCTGGTGGGAGAGACCTACACTTATGGAAAGGTCAGCCTAAGGAATACATAACTGCGAAGTGAGATCAGGGCTTGTCAGGAAAAGCATGGGGTGCTGGGAGAGCCGTTCCCTAAAGAAGAGATATTGGAGTTGAACTGAAATATGAATGTGGGGAGAGATTAGTTATTCACTGACTATTAGGTCTGGACACACACACGCATGCACACACACACACACACACACACAGTATAACTCTATTTATACCTAAAGAAACTGAGGCCCAGCAGAGCAAAATGTCTTGCCCAAGGTCAGAGCTAATTATAGAAACTGGCCATCCCAATACCTAATCCCTTCCTGCTAAATCACATGGATTTTATTTACATCCCCACCATAGATTATTTCAATACATTTGGCCAATAAAACGCAGAATATTGAGTTAAAACCACATCCCTCAAGACCACAAGCATAAATAACGATCGTGTTTTAATGTGGATGATACCTTTTCATTTTGCAAAGCCAAGTTTTTATCATATCAAAATCCAAGACAGTTTGTTTTCAGTAAGAACGGGAAGGTCATAACCCTGTCTAAAGAGCAATGGCAAATCTCTCTAACCATGCAATGCTAATTTGGGCGTGAGCTGTGTGTTTAGGCTGACTTCATGCCCCAGCTGGGTTTCAGATTTGCACATGGCGACTGGGGGGCTCTTTGCTGTTGTACAGCAAGGGTCTCTCCCTGGACTCCGGAAGCCTCCGGGGATTTACCGCTGTCCTCGCCAGTGTGTGCCTGTGCTGCGTGGTCAAACATTCTTTTGAAAAGCCCGTGAGAATCCACTTGCAGTCTGTGCGCTTGCATGTAAAAGCCAGGACTGGAAAGAACCGCAGAGGATCACACTCTGACCCGAGGTTACCTCTGGGGAGCTGCTGCAATGGGGAGGGGATGTGACACGGTCTTCTTTTTATTCTAGATACGCCTGAGTTGTGTAGAATTGTACACAAGAACGTATTCGTGTATTACGCATTTAATGCACGCGTATCAATTTTTTTAAAGAAAAATCTTTAAAAAAACTAACATCTCAATAGAACAAAGGTGCATCTCCGCAGAGAGCAAAAGCGTTTCTTCTGGATGTTGACTGTCTATTCCAGAAACCTCAGAGTAACTCCCCCTTGACCAGCACAGAACTGAAGGTGGAAAACGTGCCCTCCCCTGCAGCCCAGCGGGAAATTTGGAAAGTTGGAGGCGCCTCGAGGGTCGCCGCACTTGCGGCCCGCGCCCCCCTTACGGGTGCATTTCGGCAAGTCGTGACTTTACCGCGTGCGCACCCAGACCCCCCGCAACCCCCCAATCAACCGGTGCGGGTGCCGGAGGGTGCGGCTGCGGCGGGGCGGGGCCATCCGAGCCCGCTCCCCCACCTCCTTTCGCGTCCCCTCCCCGCCAGCCCCGCCCGCGCTCGCCCCCCGCCCGCGCCCGGGGCGCCTGGCCCGCCCCCTCCCCTAGCGCGCAAACGAACCTCGCAACGCGCTCGGCGGCGGCAGGCGGGGGCCGGGCGAGGGAGGGGGCTGGCCCGAGCAGCCCGACTTCGCAGTTGTCTCCCGAGCGCGGGCTGCGCCGCCCAAGCCGCTGGGCTGGGGAATCACTAGCCGTGGGCTCCCGGGCCGGCTCCTCCAGGCGCTCGCGGGCATGCAGCCCGGGAGCAGGCGGCGTGCCCCGGGCCGCTGCTGAGCCGGCCGGGGCGGCGGGGACCAGCGCCTGCCGAGCCCCTCCCACCTTGCCCCGGGGCCGACGAGCGGCGCCCCGGCACCCCGTCTCCGCCCGCAGCCCCGCCAGCGCCACCCCCCGCGGGCCGCAGGGGCTCATGCAGCCGCCAAGGTAAGCGCGGGCCGGGAGCGGGGCGGACCCGGCTCTGACATCCCCGAGACGCCACCCGCACTTGCGGGGGCCACGGCACTGCTCTGGTCCTCCCCATCCCCGCGTCTCATCTTGCTCCGGTCTTGCCCAGATTTGGAGCTTTGCTGCGCCTCGATCGCTTTAGCTCTTGGCAGCAGTAAAGTTTTTGTGGTTTAGTATTTGCTCTTTTTTTCCTAAAATGCTCTCCCCGGGCAGCCGGCAGCGCGCGTGCTTGGACAGACCCGGCGAGCGTCTCTTCCACTGTGTGCGGGCTGGGAGCTCCCTTTCTCCCTCGCGGGCAGCCGCACCGGGCAGCCCGCGCAGCCTGGGACGGAGCCGGAAAGAGGGCTGTCCCGCCGTGAACCCTCATTGGCGCGACTCACCCGGGTCCCCTCCTTCTGCTCCGCGCCTGGCTGCCTAGGCCAGCTGCAGAGCCGCGGGACAACCGCCTGCCCCCGGGGGCGTCGGTGCTGCACGGTGCGGGCTCGGGTCCGAGCGGTCCTTTGAACGGGGAGCACCAGCGCGCAGGAAGGTGCGGGACTTGGGTTCAGTGCTAAGGGGCCCGAGTGGCCCCGGCGTTCCTAAGTGGACGGGTGGGCCCGGCGGGCGGGGCACAGAGACGATTCCGCGCCCGGCTGGAGCGGTGGCTCATGCCAGGGAACTAGCTGAAGCAGGGGTACAGGTGTATTTAGAGGGAGGGCCGACGGGGGGTGAGGGATGCTCGGTTGCAATTCTTGATTGCATCCTGTTAATGTAATTGCATTAGATCTGCTCGGAGGCAGAATCAGTTCCCCCAGATTGCGATTTTTAATGGGAGCCTGCGAGTTGCTATTATGTGGTGTGGTTTCGGAAGGCGTTGGATTGTATTTATTTTATAAATCGGGCGTCTCGCGGACGGAACAGGGGAAATCGCGCCATCTAGCGGAGATGGCAAGCTGCGGGGTCCTTTTAGGCAACGAAGTTGGGTGTTCTCGAAGTAGGAGACTGCAGCGCCAGGTAGAGAGAGGCGGGATGAGCCCTTCAGGAAAGAGTAGTTATGCGTGTATCTATAGTCGGGCTGAGCTGGAGCGTCCCGATACCCCCAGTTCAGCACGCCAAGCTCAAGGGACAGAATTACAGGTTGTACTGCAGGGCAGGCTGTAACCTCGAAGAGATCCGTCACCTCCGATCTGGCTTTAGGGTCCGCCAGCAAAAACATGCAGTGTTACCTGCCAATAAGTGGATACCCGTCATTCGAACATCTTTTGCGGGGGGAGGGGGACAGAGACTGCTGTCTTCTCCAATGCATCATAGAGAGGGGATTTTTCAGGCAGATCTTGAGCCATGACCCCTAGTTAAGAGATTGGCGGGGAAGGGCAGCTGAAGGACAAGTGGGAAAGGGCCTCCTGCCGATCTGCGCAGGGACGGGAGAGTACACCAAAATGGTATTTTTTTAAACACAACAAAGAGTTTCCTGATGTTCCACTGCCACAGCAGGTGACAAGCAAGCCCGCTTTATAGGGGATATGATCTCCAGTGAACGATGGGGGTGACTTTGCTGGGTGACAAGCCCAGCGGACAAAGGCTCTGGGTGGGGCACCCACACATCCAGGCGGGCTCCACATTCTCTGTGGCTGGTTTTTGCTGCCACCTTCCAGGCCGGATGATACTAGCAATGAGCTGAGTTCTCCCTATTCTAAAGGATACCTTGGTTCCTTGGAGAGCAGCATGGTGGTGCCCTTATGGTAAAGACCCTTGCCACCTCTTGAAATCCTCTTTCCTGTGGTGCTGGGGAGGGAGGTCCCAGATCCCTTTTCACAATAGCTCTGCTCCTACCTTCCCCCCCGCCCCCGCCAGGTGACAGACCGGTGCTTACATTCCAAATAGACATGTGGAATGGGGGGACGCAGGGGTGTCTCTGCCTCCCCCATGCTGTCTCTTCCTTTGCAGGTGTTTATTTAATAACCAGATTTGTGACCAAAAGGGTCTTGCAGTAACCCGGCCTCTTATTCAAGGAGGGCTTCTCTGACTTTCGCTAAGAAACCCCTTACAAGGCATGACCACTGTTCCCTAGTGTGCATAGTAACACAGAACAGACCTGGGAGAAGCTCCTATTTTATAGGACCCTTGACTTGGCCCTTCGGCCTCCCCACATGGGGCCAAATACGGGAATTCTTAGATGAGATGCAAAATAAAACGAACAGGTACTGAGCATCTCTGACATTGGGACAGGAAGTCTTTCAAGCCACCGCTTCCCTGATACTCACCAGAAAAGGTGCTGGCATTTCCATTTCTCTAAAGAAACTGAGGTCCAGACTTAACATATATATTTACCCTGAAGAAGGGAGGCTCCAGGCTCTCCCACCTGTCTGGTATCCAGCCCCATTCAAAGGACAGACCCTGTTTTTCTTATTTTGACTGAATGATAGTTCAATGTCAGCCTCCCTTCTTTTCACAGAACAGAGCTATGAAGGAGCAATGAACAGGGCAGTGGATAAACTAGGACTGCCTTACCCAAGTGTGCATGCATCCAAGGTCAGGCAGAAGTCAGTTTCCTTGGCGACAAATAAACATCTTTTGAAAGGATGCCCAGTTTCTTAACCAGGTGTGACCCTATGAATAGAAAACGCAGCATCGTTTTAGAGTCTAGGGGGCAGGAGGCAAGAATGCCTGCTGATGGGTGAAACTTGTTCTAATTCTAAGGGTGGTAAAAAGAAGACATTTTGAAAGTTGGGCAGAAATTTTGTAACAGAGTAAATGCAAATATCTTTTATAGCCTCACTTAAAAAATTTCAAGTCCCTGCTACTTGATGAATATAAAAATGCCCTCTGTACTTACTTGACTTATAAAATTATTGTATCCAGATTACTAGGGTGAAGAATTAAAGTGTAGCAAACACTGTTTATGCAGGAAAAAATAACAAAGCGACCGGTTGCGTTTACTTCTGGTTTTTGAGTTGTTTGTTTAAAGCAACACTACAAGATGAGGAACTTTCTGGAATCAAGATACTAGATTTGCCAGAGTCTGAAAAATCTGGCAAAAAGTTGAAAACAAAAGATTCTTTCAGCTATCTGGTAAATCAAGGCCAGTTCCTATAGATTCTGCGGCCTCCACAAGGCAGAGCAGAGATCAGCAGATATGAGTAAAAATGCCCTAAAACTTATTGATTTGTATCTGTGAGGCATTGTTTAGTGGTTACCATCCTTCATGGCTGTTACTTATGTTTTCTTTTTCCATCTTTGGGGACTCTCCTTCTCAAGGTCTTTGAAGCAGCTTGCCTGGCTGATAGCAACAATTTGTCCTGTTTCCTGATAATGCTCAGCTCTTCTTCCCTTGTGAACCGAGATATTCTGGCCAAGTCCTCAATAAGAACCTCAGTATCATCCCTTTATTCTTCATACACTGCTCTTCTGAAGATGGACGCAAACATTTTTCATCCTGTTTAGGAGCTCTGAGGACTTTTCTCTTGATCAATGACTTTTTGAAACGAGCTTAGGTGGAAACACCCAAACACACCAAGACTCACAATTATGGCATCATAAACGTTTGTGTTATAAGCCTTGGAGGCCACAACGCAAACACTCAACTTCAGAGTTCAGTCTCCTGTTAGTCTTGTATATATTTCATTCATCTGTGCCATGGTGTGTCTCTTCCCAGCTGGTTAGCTACTTAAAAACCAGGATACCTCGTTGTTCCAGGTGCTTCCACAAAGTTTTCTCCCCTCTATCAAAGCCTGATCCTCTTTTGTGATCATAAGATGTTTCTGGTTACCGCCGGCCGGGATGCCGCATTACTTGGCTCCCCAAGAGGCCTGCTCAGAAATCATCTGCTGGACAAAAGTGACTTTGAAATTCGCTGCCAGTGTGCATTTTCAGCTTCTGACCCTGGCATCCTGGAGAACAGACTGCTTTCATAAGAATATATCCCTTGGACTGCTGAGAGCTGAAGCTACTCTGTGGTGTTGCTGCCTCTGCAACCATTTCGTTTGGCCACGTAGCCTGTGGGGGGGCGGGTCTTAAATTGATCATAGCCTCCGCCCCTGCCCCTGAGCAAGTGCATGCCCTAGACAGCAGCCACAGAGTCCCAAGCAGATGTAAGTCCTAATGACTTCCCCAACGGCCTCTGTGATAAAGTCTCCCCCACCTCCCAGGGCTGTGCCCTGATACACCCCTTAGAAAAATCCCCCGTGGGGCTCACCAAAAGCCCACTCTTTTGGTTTGAATGGACCAATCTGGCCTTAGCACAGAAACCCGCAAACACTCTACCCATGCCCCCTCATAAAGGCTTGAGTCCTGGTCCTGCCTCTCTCTGCACCCTCCACTGACCCCGCCCCACCTGGCCCCTCGAGATGTGCCCTGCTCTTCCTCTAGGTTCTGTGAATAATAAATTTCTCTATTTCAGTTTCCCCTGTGGCTCACCATTGAACTATAGCTTGCCACCCGGCACCCTGGGCTCCATTTAATTTGACAGATTCCTAACAGAAGAACACGTGTAAATGCATATCTCATTCACAGAATCGTAAACACTGTAGGGTTTCCTCAAAAGAACTGGTACTTTGGAAACAATAAGAATTAATGTTTGTTTGGAAATTTGGGTGTATAATACACTTTCCTTTACATTTCATTTAATATCCAGCATGGAAAGAGGTAGAGTATAAATAATAAATAGATTTTTTAACACCACTGCATTTTCTCAGATGGGGTTCCATTTATGCAAGAGAGGCAAAGCAATGAGAAATGTAGAGCCTAGAGACCAGGCTTACCTGTAGACACTATGAGGTTCACGACAGCACCCCCTCACAGGTCGAGACCTGCTGGTAACCCCTCCCTGCTAAGTTTGGCAGCTCATTTTGCACCAGAACAAGGGACTCATGGGACATTCATTTATGTTGTCTCACACCCTTCAGTGCAGCTAAAACAGTCTGATACTCACATTTCAGGAGACTGATTTCAAAATGCTTACCTTACTATCCAGAAGCACACTGGGCTTTGTATCTTTAAGTATCTCAAGAGCATATGGTAAGGAAAAGCCAGATGCCACCATTTTCTTGGCTATGAGGGTTTTAGCTTGTTTTTTTTTTTTTTCTCTCTGCTGAGATGCCTAAACTCCCAAGTGTCTGATTTCTTTATGAGTAAATGGATGCTACTGGCAGAAGCTCCAGACCTCAGGCCTAGTTAGAAATGTATTGCCTCCCTTGAGCCTGGGCCAAGAGTCAATGAGGACAAAGGAAACCCAAGCCAAGATGGCACCCAAGCCTTCCCTTTCCGGGTCAGTGACCAATCTCTAGGGGCAGAAGCCCACCTGGCTTAGAATTTGAGACAGTGTCTGGATGGCTTATGGTCTGAAGGGACTGCAATGAATTGATACTCTAGATAGGTTTACCTAAACATCTTGTTGTGTAATATTTACCTTGTCGTTCAGAGGCTACATCCAAGTAAACACTCTATGAAAACTTGACCTAAAAATACCATTTAGTCTCCTAAAGAAAGAAAAGGAATTCTATAACTACTTTGACTTCCTAAGTCTTAAGGGGCTGGGGGAGATTGTTCAGGGAAGTTGTTCTTTCCTTAAAACATGTTTAAATTTGTGTTTATTTCTGGAAAGCAGCATATCTCTAAACATATTCTCCTTTCTTGCATTCTTTTTTGGTTTTTAAGGTAGGCTCCACTCCCAACGTGAGGCTTGAACTCACAACCCTGAGATCAAGAGTCACATGCTCTACCAGCTGAACCAGCCAGGTGCCCCACCCCCATATTCTCATTTCTAACACATAACCCACTATTATACAAATGGAGCATATTATTGGACTAACAGAAAAAAGTAAATCCCAGGTGAAAAAGCTGGGAAGCAGCTGGGGAGAGAAACACTGAACTTGGCATCCCAAGGTCTGGGTCTGAGGCTTTTCCTACTCTGATCTTCTTAGTGACCTTGGACAAGTCACTTAATCTTCCAGAGTTTCAGTGTCCTCATTTATGAAATGAAGACAGTTGTCCCGTGACACAGACGAGACAACTCG